AAACACACTGCAGATATTGGTCAAGTGCAGGGTATTGAAGTTTACTGAACTCATATTTAGGAGAGAAAGGAAAGCAGAAAAGTGAAAATGCCCCCATCCACAGGTCACCCATCCTCTGGGACCCCCAAAACATGGGTGCAAAGACTGCTTCCCATTTATCCACTGAGGCATTCTGGTCTAGATGCTCACATCCATCCCTGGTGTCAGAGTCATACTTCACACAATTATGAATCTGATCCCAACCAGTGACATTTAGGAATGGTTATATTGTTATGTGTGTCTGCATCCTGTGTACCCACAATGATTTTGAACCTATTCCTAACCAGTGACATCATAAAATAGTGAATTTGTTATGTATTTCTGCACCCTTAAAAGTTAATGTTACACAGAAGTATTTCTGGGCATAGACACACACAGTACTTAAAATGGTTTAAATGAGATTTAAACCTGAAGCAGGTAGATCTATGTCTGTTAAACTAGTTTAAATTTGCACGGGACAGGTCAAAAGTGAACCTGGAAAATCAGTTTATTTTCAACTGGTTCACTGTGAATGGGTTCAGTGTTATGTGTATATACCAGACATTGTGATATAGGTCTAGTCAGTCCTCCAGGCATCATACACATCATTCCTGATCAGCATACTAATGGCACCTCACTCCAAATCTCTCCCAGATCTCACCCAGCACCTTCAGATACACACTTGGGCTTATCTACATGAGCACCCCACGGCACAGTATCTGCCAGTACTGTGCGGTTCTGGCAGTGTACAGGTTGTTATGACCTTACCGTAGAGTAGCAACGAACTACTGCACAGTAGTTCATTGCTACTGTGCAGTAGTGGTGGCATCACGGTTAGTGTCCACTGATGCTAAGTTGCTGTAGCTTGTTACTGTAGTGATATAGCATCCCGTGTAGACGTGCCCACTGAAGAGGAGGGAGACAAAATGGAACCCTGGGAGACCCCACAGGAAAGTTCTTGAGGGGACAACTAGCATTCACACATCAAAACCCTCTGGGACCTTCCCTGCTAGAAAAGAGTGTAACTAATTGAGAGTGGCCCTGTGAATAAATGGCAGGTCATTTAAATGGCCAAAGTATCAAAGGCCACTGAAATATTTAATAGGGTCAACAAGGTACAGCTTAAGAGAGTACATGATAGCAGTTTTCAAAGGGTGCATCTACACGTGCAATTAATGTGCCTGAATTTTCTCTACAGAAAATTCAGGATTATTAAAGTGCTCCCATGCACACATCTACATGTGCTCCTGCGTTGGGAGCAAATTGCTCCTGACAAAAGCAACCCAGTCCAGGGCTTCTCCTGCCCTGCTCTGCCTCCTCCTCACCACCTGCAGCAGCCAGCAGCTCCAGGCTCCCCTGGGTTCTGGCTCCTAGGGGCAGCCCTGTTTTGTGCAGGGCAGGAGGAGGTGGGGGAGCTATCCCAGCTCCGCAAGCAGTTCCCTGTCAGTTGCAGGGAGATCAGGGTGGGCCCTGAGCTGTCAGGGGCCGGGGCCTGGAGCTGTGGGGTGCCAACCCTGCACACATCAGGGCCCATCCTGATCTCCATGGGGCAGGGAGAGCTGTCCTGGCTGCATGTGGCTGGGAGACAGCATCCTGCTGAGCTGGGATAGCTCTCCCTTCCCCCTGTGGCCCCCCCTGCTACCTAGGCTGACCGGGAGCAATTTGCAATTTTGTTATGTGAAGCATATACGCATGCACTTCAGCACCTTCGTATAATGCCCTGATTTCTAGTACCTTGTAACAGGGAACCCTAGCCCTGTTACCAAGAGAGAGGGTGGTCCCTTTAAATCTAGAACCTTCTAGTCATGGCTGGCCGGTCAAGTAGGGGTTAAGGCTCAAGCCCTGCCAGCCGGTCAGGTGACAGGAAGGGGAAGGCCAGAACCCTATAAATGGGGAGTGGAGAGGGTCAGAGAGGCAGCAGAGAGGGGGACTCCCAATGACCACGGTGTTGCAGCTGTAGCCTTTTTCAGAAGAATATGCCACGCTGTGAGCCGGAAGCATGATCATCTAAAGTAAGCAGGCCTGTTGCCACTCTTACTTCTTTTTATTATTTTCCCATTACATGGCCATAGAAGCCTATGGTTTGCTTTGGATGTTAATAACCGGAGGATCAGGCTGAGGCTATTTAGGGAAGGAGGAGGCGTCATTGGGGGCCCACTGCAGTGTAGGGACCCCAGCACCAGAGAGGATGCAGTATTTGGGGGGGGGGAGCAGACCCCAGCTGTTTGCCCAGAAACAGGTGGGTGGGCCAAAGGCAAATTGACCCCCCGTTACATACCTGTATCTACAGGTACTAGAAAATGGCACATTAAACTAATGTACTACGCAATAATTGCTGCACACATGTAAATGGTGATGCTTTACTGTGCGTTAGATTAATTTAATGCGCAGTAATGCATCTCATGTAGACGTACCAAAAATGAAGCAGGAAAATGGCTGCTTTCCTATGATGCCAAAAGTAGGACACAAAACAATAGGTTTAAACTTCAGGAAAATCTTCCTATCTAAAAAAAAGCTTCCCAGGATGCTTTGCACCTCTCCTGTGACATCCTCCCCTCCCTTGCAGAGTGGGTTTGCTAGCAGCCTTGTCCCAAACTGTCTGCTTCAGCCAAGCAGGGAGGAGTGCTCTAGCACTCCCTCCCCCCGACCTTGGGTTTTTGGCTTGAGCCACTGTAGGCATGTGCCTTTTCCAAAATCAAAAGTGGAAGTTTATCCCCTTGTGTATCAATTCAATTTATGCAGTTTAGACTAACCTGAGATTAAAAGATCAAATCAATTCAGCCTTGGACTTTTTGACTGTCTGTACCCTGGCTAACCATAACTCCACGGGCATCAAGTCTGTCAACCCAAGGGCCCTGGAGGACTAAGCAGACTCTTGGGATGTCTGGAGGACTGATCAGACCCTTGGGTTGACAGACTCGATGCCCATGGAGTAATGTTTAGCTGGAGTGGCACTTTATAGACTAATTTGTTCAGAGAAGCATCTTGATACAAAAAGCAAAGAGAGCTCTGAATTTTTACAGAAGAATAAATGAAAAAAGCTACCAAACACTAAGTGTGATTGTTTCATGTTTGTGAAAATAAGAGTTTGCATCTATGGAGTTGCAACATTTCATAGGAGCAGGACATTTGCTGCTACGGTTTCCCAGCTTTACCAGTGGCAGATTAGGATGTTAGGTCTGTGTTGTGCCAGAGTTCATGGTAGGCTTGTGTAGAGTTTAGATTATGGTTTGTTTAGGTGGTTTGGACATGGATGATCCTGCCTCAGGCAGAGAGCTGGACTAGATGACCTCTGGAGATCCCTTTCTGCCCTGCTTCTCTATGACTCTAAGACTTCTGAAGTTAAAAATTTGGCAAAATATTATGTTCAGATTAAGGCAGGCAAGGTTCTTTGGGTAAATCCAATATCTTTTATTAGATGTTCAGATTAAGGTACTCAAGTATTGTATATTGCTCAGATGACTTTGAGGAATAAATTCCCTCCAGAGGTAGTACAATCACCTACCCTGGAAATCTTTAAGAGGAGACTGGACGGTCACCTCAAGGGTACTGTACCTAGGGAGGAAGAACCAGCAGCATACCTGCAGGCTGGGGAACTCCCCTCTCGTCAACACAGAGGCAGAAAAGGATCTTGAAGTCGTTATAGACTCCAAGATGAACATGGGCTGCCAATGTGGGGGCGCAGTCAGGAAGGCTAATCGCACCTTGTCATGCATCCACAGATGGATCACGAGCAGGTCCAAGGAGGTGATCCTCCCCCTCTATGCAACATTGGTCAGACCGCAGCTGGAGTACTGCATCCAGTTCTGGGCATGGCACTTCAGGAGGGATGTGGACAACATTGAGAGGGTCCAGAAGAGGGCCACTTGCATAGTCACGGGTCAGCAGGGCAGGCCCTACGAAGAGAGGCTACAGGACCTGAACCTGTTCAGCCTCCACAAGAGAAGGCTGAGAGGGGATCTGGTGGCCGTCTATAAACTGGCCAAGGGGGACCAGCAGGCAGTGGGAGAGTCCCTATTCCCCCAAGCACTATTGGGAGTAACAAGGCATAATGACCATAAGTTGACTGAGAGTAGATTCAGGCTAGACATCAGGAGGCACTAGTTCACAGTCAGGGTGGCTAGGATCTGGAACCAACTTCCAAGTGAAGTGGTGCTCACTCCTACCCTGGGGGTCTCCAAAAGGAGGCTAGAAAATCACCTAGCCGGGCTCGTTTGACCCCAGTACTCTTTTCTGCCATGGGAGGGGGTTGGACTTGATCTGCTCAGGTCTCTTCTGACCCTACTAACTCTGAAACTATGAAACCTTGCTGGGGTTGCTTGACTCCAGTTGTCTTTCCTGCCTGGTGCAGGGGGCTGGACCCAATGATCTTGCGAGGTCCCTTCCAGCCCCTTACAGTCTATGAATCCATGAGGGGTTTTTTATATACAATTCAACAATGGGAGCACACTTGAATAATCAACACATTTTTCTTGAATAACCCTATCCATTTGTGTATCCCGCCTACTACCATATAGTTGTATAGATTTGTTGTGCCAGTCCATGTGAGTGTTTTCTAGTATTTTATCCACACTAAATATTATTTTTATGCATGTGTAAAATCTGTATTTTTACTTGAAAACATTCTCTTGCATGCTTATTTGTATTTTAACTCAATCAACAACACAATTTTGCATCTTAACTAACTTCCCTGTTGTGCCAGGACATATGCTGTGTAGCATTTTGTTTGTCACTTGGTGATACTTTCCCAGCTCGCTGTATCGGAAGTCTTCCCCATTACTAAGCTGAACTGGTATGTGAAACCATATGGTGTTTTTCAGCTGCTTGGTTGCTGCGCAGGATAAATAATCCTGACCTGAAAACAGAAACTTTTTAAGTGGTGGGGGAGGAAAAAAAAGTTGCTTTATTCCTTATAAGGCACGGGCAGGCTATTTGAATGATAGGAAGGGGCGGTTGCATTTTCATGCTGCTCTGAGCAAGCACCGGCCTGGCAGACAGCCGGGGCAGGCTCGAATGCAGGAAGGAAAGGGGCTGGCAGCTGGATTTCTAGGAGTGAAACAGGGCGCAGGGGCAATTTAGAGCCAGCATCAAGAACGTGGTCATGGGAAAGTCAGGTTGGTGAATGCTTTTTGTTGTTGTTGTTGTTGGGGGGGGGGGGACTTGTTGGCCATGCTGGGGATGCACGGGGGCTGTGCTAAGCCGGCGATCGAGAGGGCGGGCAGGCGCATTTCTCCTCTCTGCCGGCCCGAAGGAGGCGCGGGGAGCGGGGACATGCTTTTACCCCCTACCTCTGCAGCCGCAGCTCAGCCCAGCTGGAGCTCGTCTCGTTCCCGCGGCAGCAGCGGGCAGGAGAAGGGAATGGGAGGGGAAGGAGGGTAGCGCTCCCCTTCCCTGAAGCTTAGACGGGGCTCCCTGCCCTGGTAGGGGGCAGCGCAGCCCTCCCCTGCAACCGCACCCCTTTACCAAACTCTGGATCCACCCCTAGATGCGATGGGCCACGCTTGTGGAAGGCTTAGTGGCAACATGAGCAACGTCATCCCGTGTGACCTGCTTGCTTTTATGCGGGCTAGTCTCTAGGAGGAGCTTTCTTATAGTACCGTGAAACGGGCCAGTTATTTCTTCTCTATTTATTTTACAGTGCACACTTATTTGCAAGGAAAGAAATTTGCATATTTTATGTTGTGCCTGGTTTTCATGCTGCGCTTTGATCAATGCAGTTAAAGAATGGGTCTAAGCGCTGTAGCTTTTGAAACTGCTGGCTGGGAAGGAGAATGGCCATGAAAGCACTTGTGTAATGGAGTTATTTGTCTTGTCCAGATAACCTTAGTCAGCAAGTTATAGACTGATGTATGCAGACAAGGTTCTTTGGGTGAATCTGATATCTAGGTTTCAGAGAGATGAAGGCTGCCCTCACTTCATCCCAAGGCTCTCGGGTGATCTTCGCAGGGCACTGTGGGGAGAAAGGTGGTTTACAGCTCCTCCTCCCAGATCCCTTGATTTCTTTGGGTGTTTAGTTACCTGACATCTCCCTCTCCCTTATGGTGGAGCAAGGTGCATCTGCCATCCCTTAAATCCAAGGGCTGAATCTGTCCAGGGGTGGGTGATGTGACTGCCCAGCCACACCCAGGAGGGCTCTACAGTGATAGAGCTGGGAAATGCTCCTCCAGTCCCATTGCTAGCATTTCCCAGGTTTACTTCTTTCTGGGGATAGAAGGCTTGTTGGCTATGGGAACTGCATGGACCACATGTGCAACAGCAGACATATCAAGGACAAAAAACTGGATGGTGGATGTACACTATCCGGCTGACAGTAGATTTTGCCCCCAAGCTCTTCTCTATCAGTATGCCATTTCTCAGTAAGCGTATCGTATAGGTCTGAATGAATCTATGAATGAATTTACCACCAGCAACAACCCACTCCCACTTTTCTCTTACCCTGCTGCTGCTACAATAGCATATGTGGAGTAGGAACTATGTTCAACTCAATCTGAAGAAATGCAGAAACTAGCAGTTGTGTTGGCAGAAAGCAACTTGTCTTAACATTTTTCATCTAACCTTTCTTTCCGCTTTATCAGCTTGTTGCAAGTAAGTGATTTACAGAGAAACACAATGTATTTATTTTCCAGGGTGCTTTTTTTTCCCCACAAGAACCTGGATCAGTAAATTGAATACTGCAGATTAGCAGTCTCTTTAGACTCTTTTGGAGTTCTCTGATGTATTTGATCGTAGTATTTTAATAGTTTTGAACATGTATGGTCTGCAGTTATCCTTCAGTTGGAAAGCAGAATTAGAGTTAATAGTCTAATACCAAAAATGACAGACCAGTGTTGCAAAAGATAAAGTTCTGTGAAAGCTAGGACCAAATTCTGCACTCCATGTGCAGTTTCTTTGATTTCAATTATGATACACATGTCCGAATTTGACCAAAATTACTGTTTACCAGATAAAAATTACAATGCAAAATTTCTCATATAGCATCCTTTCTCTGATTAATTAAAGGCCTGTCTATGCAATGACTAGATGGGTGTGTTTTTAATTGAGTGAATTAACTTGATTTTAAAAAGCACCTTTTTCCTTATTCAGTTCTCTTTTCAGACAGACAGTAGACAGGAAGATATGTTAACACCAAGGCAGTTGCAGATCTTACTGTTACTGAATGCGAACATTCTGTTGCTAACAATAAAGACTAATTCATCATCCTCTTTCTATCCCCTCAGGTCCTGTAAAACAGGCAAACACAGAAAGCATGTTGTCATTTTCATAGCCTGCATGTGTCAGGTTTCTCCGAGAATGAACAGATGGTGTCTCTAGTGAACTTGTGATACTTTTTGTTAAGGCAGTTGTAACAAGTTTCCAAAGAGTAAAAGCTCCATAGAATATTGCCTTGAATTTCCTTTCACTTTAAGATTTAGTTAACTGTATGCAAAGCTATTAAACTTTTAAAATACATATATTCAGAAGTTGCGTTTTTCACAAATCTCCAAATGATAAAAATGGCATTGGCGTTTTAGGTTGTAACTGCAAAAATAACCTATATCTGATTTGATTTTTTTTTTCCTCCTCTAATCATTGCAATAGGGTTGGAGTGTTGTAGTTGTGATGGATATGCAAGAAGCAAGGATTTTTGGGTAATATATTTTTATTGGACCAACTGTATTGTTGGAAGACATGTTACACAAGCTTTCAGGCACAAAATATGCTTCCTTGGGTCTGAAGAGAAGCAGATGTGGATTAAAAAAATCCACATTTCATTATGTTAATGGATAAGTTCATTTAAAAAAAGTGGAAGAGGGATGTAAAACTACAGATCAAAGATAAGTTATAAGAAATGAATATGAAGACAAAGGGAAGTAGAAATAGATAAACCTAATTATATAAAAGACCATTCAAAAAGGAAGATAGTTTCTTTTGTACTGGTTCCTTTGATACAAGCTAGAATAACTCTGTCACTTCTAACACTTCTTTTGACTTCTGACTCATTTACAGGGAAAGCATCTTAAATGTTATGTACTCATGACTCGTTCCTTATTATTTACTATCTTTCTTACCAACAAGATAACTAGATAATTTCAAAAGACAATGAGTGACAAATCCTCTGGTAATTACCTCTGCTTAGAGCTGACCTACTGCAGCACGGGCACTGGGACAGGAGAGGGTCACTCCTTCCCCACTGACCTTCGAAGCCTGTTTGTGGAAAGGATTACACTCCTCAGAGTTTAGGAGTGGAGCTGGCAACTGGCTGTTGTCTGAAACATTTTGATTAGCTGGCTTTAGGAGTTAATGCAATCTGTAGGAGTTAATGCAATCATGGGATGAACAGCAGCAGGGCTGCACAGAGTATCCAGCTCTCTACGTGTCATTCCCAGCCAACAAGTATTTTAAAAAATCATTTTGCTTGGCTCTGGTATGCATCATGCTGGGAGGCCCCACCATGACCTCCAGTGGATGGAATGACTTTTTGGAAACCCTGAAGTAGAATCTGGGTAATTTCCCACCTCCTCAGGCCTTCTGTGGGGTATTTCCATGGAAGAAGATGTTCTAAATCTGATGGGGGAGTATCAATCTCATGTTTAGTATAATGTTCTAAAATCACAGTGCAAGAAGGCAGCCAGGCATTAACTTTGAAGAAGCTCAGCTTTCACAGGTATGAAACTAAACAAACAAATACAACCACCAAGCAAGCAAA